CCTTTCCAGAATATGTGGCATACTATGTTAGTCTATCATATACAGGAAGTCATGTTTGTATTACACAGCCTTTCCAGAATATGTGGCATACTATGTTAGTCTATCATATACAGGAAGTCATGTTTGTATTACACAGCCTTAACTAAAACACCAAACGTTCATTAGTGGCCAACTTCAATACATGAATGAGTTTTATCTCACAGCTACATTTTGCAGCAATGTGAGCAACTCCATCACAGCTGATAGAGCTTTTAGAACTTTCTTGCTTATATGCATACCAATAAACCCAGGTACCTCTAGAACCCAGCACAAAGATGCAGCTTCATTTTTATCTAATACCAAAAATTCCTATTCAGCTCCTGTTTGAGATGAATACTTAGCTAATACATGAACAACACATGTCAACAAAATGGAACCACTCTTCCTAAATCAAGCAAAAGTCATCTAATGAAAGCCTCTGTATTATCCATAAATACCAGAAAGAAGACAAAACACAGGATTGAGTCCCCACAAAAAGTTCTAAAACTTCGCTTTACTAGGAAGTGGTTAACAATTAATAGATGCAAGACTCATTCCAAGTGCTATTTCATTGGTAAGTTCCAAAACTGCAGAAACTCCACATCAGCCTCATGTATCATTCCTAACATTGTCTACATCTTTAAGTGTTTAAAGGTAGCAATCAGGCCTCTGCTGAGATGACAAGATATCCAACATGAGAGGGAATTCTGTAGAACTCGACCTTCACACACAAAAGCCGTGACAGTCCAGTAAAATGCTTATAGAAGACAGCCCTTCCTACTGCTGGTCTGCTTACCTGGATCCAGTTACTGCAGGGTTCTGCTGAATACACAAATAGAGACGGCCAACATACACACAACCTGGTCACAGCAACTCCACACATTTTTCAGTTTCTACCATTTCTAAACTCCAACTTCTCATGCAAAACTGTTTGGTTTAGTAGTTTGAGCATGAACTGGCAGACGCACAGAAAACAAGATCAAAAGCTGCATCTTCTGTAATTATATCCATTCTATCTGCAGGAAAATGTAGCAAAAACTAAAGCCATCAGAAGCATGGAATAGCTCTGCAAAACAGGCAAATCGAGTCATGACATAGACCATGTGCAACACCAGCATAGTAGGAAAAAAGTAATATATTGCCAGCAGCTGCCGTGAGCATTGGCTGAGTAACAGAGAACTGAACTGTAATAATTGCAGACAGACAAGCTAAGCATGTATGTATAAATACACACAGACTGAAGAGGTGAGCAGGTTTCCATGTGTCATATGAAACACAAGACTAATCCAATCTCACAAAGGCCTATTTTGACCATCTGTAGAGATGTAATGCACACCTCAAAACACGGAAAACAGTATGAGCTGTTACTTCAATATTGCTATGCAATGTACAGAAGGAAAAATGCATCACGCTACATGCAGTTTTATTTACAAAAGGCTATGTACTTCAAGAACTTAAAGTAAATAAACCTTAAACTGCAGCAAGCTGTGAAACAGAGCAGCAACTTAAAGAGCACATCTTTTACAGTTAATATAAAACTGGAGAGAACACTTGACTTTTCAGGCCAGCTCAAGTTTTACAAAACATCACTGTGTTATATACAGCATTATGGTGGTTCTTTCAATTGTTACAAACAGCAATCCAGAAACAGCACACATCTGACAGAAACCAGGCACAGGACAGTGCAAAGGGTGTGTTTCCAGAGTAGCACTAGACTGTGGAGCAACTTCAACTAACCCATGACTCACCAATTCACTAGCTACTTCTGGAGTCAGAATGGTTGAAAAGGATAATAAGTACTGTAAGACATTCTTCTAGTTTTTGTTATACATCCACCACATACACTTAATTTCAAAATTTTCAGATGCTGTTTCTCTGCATTTTAACAAATTACAATTTATATTCAAATGCACATACTATCTCACAGCAAGTGAGTCATTCACCACTTCCTGGCATAATAACATAGAAATGAAACTACTAAGTTGTATCTGCAGAAGTGAAATATATACAAGTTTGTACAACATCCTGCTTAGTGGATGATTAGTAAAGGCCATATCCATTACAAAACATTTTAGCAGTTACACAAACAAGAATGTACTTGTAGTCTCTAAAGACTGAAGGATAAAATGAAAGTTATAATTACTGATTTAAGTCATATTTGAAAAACAGGAACTGAAAGTTGCTGACTGGAAAAGAGGAGGTGGTATAATATCAGTCTTTTAGTTATCCTGTGTGCATCTGTTAATTATTTGTTTCAGAAAGTTATCATAAGTAAACACATTTTTAAATGATCACATTTATAAAATTATAAAATAATTCTTTCAGCAGGAGGTTGGACCAAACTACTCTAAAAATCACATCCAACCAATATCTCCTGATCTTATGAAAATCCAAACCATGTTTATTCTGTAATTCACCTGCAGTAAGTAAATAATTTCTTAATTTCCTCCAAAAAAATGCTATACATATATACACATAACATGTACTTATCTTACACATGTATGTCCTTAAAAAACCTCCCAAGAGGTGAAGACATTTCAGTAGTAAGAAATACTGGCTATAAGGCACTTAGATCCTCAAGAGTTAAAACATTTTCTCTCATTACTATTAGTCATGGATAAGCCTAAAGAAGAAAGCCACAATTAAAGATAGAGATGTTACAAAACTTGTAATATAAGCTATAAATTTGGGGGAAAAAACCCAACAAACCCACACAAGAGAAAAATCAGTAAAGAAGGACTCTATGAAAGAACTAGTCAGACTGATCATGAACAGATTAATGCAATGTAATTACTGCCTTGGTGGCAGACAAGACTAAATAAATAGACAAGAATAAATAAATATTTAATTAGTACTAAAGAAAAGCAAGTCATAATTTTGTTCTCCTTTCAAAAAAAAAAAAAAAGGCAGAATGACATTAATTTCTTACAATCATAAAGGAAATACTTCCATTTTCCTTGGTAGGAAGAAACAATATACAGCTAGTATTATTAACCATATCATGGCACCAGATCTAGAGAATTCGATTCCAGATTGCTTCTTAAAGACAGCCTGCAACCCATAGAGAAGTACTGCTTGGGTACCTGCCACTTATTAAAAATACTTTCAACTTTAAAGTGACCACTGTGTAAAATTTTAAACTGGAAATGGCTCAGGCCAGCAAGCCTTTCCTATTTTAGCTGCTACAGATTTGTACCTTTGCTTTGAAATGTGTTGAGCGAAATGGTGGGGAAGACAAACCTTTTCAAAAGAGCAATCTAAATATTTCACAATATTCAGCATCTGTCTTCCATCAGTTCTTTCAGACTACTGTCAAGTGGTAAGTACATATAAAGTCTGACATGCTCTGAAAGGTATGTTAATCCTTCTTTGCATATAAAGGGAGAATCTTAACAGCTTTAAGCAGTAATAACACAAAACAAAATTAAATCAAATTTTGTGCAAAGGAAAGCATAAAGTCAAAATGGTAAATACTAAAGGAGACCCTTTATTAGTCAAATTACTCTTAGTAGACATGAAGAGCTGTCACTTTAACAAGGCCTTATGAACAATGTGTGTTAACTGTTTAGCTTGTAGAGTTAGTTCTACAAGAGTGACCTTGACTCTTTTATTAAAGCTACCACAAAAATCTGTTACTAGGAGTGACAGAGAAAGTTAAAAAAAAAAAAGCAGAACACACATCTGCCTACATTGGTAAAGTGAGGGCATATAAACAGGTATGAACTAATTGTAAACCAGTCAAATTTGATCAATAATTAAAACACAGCAAAACTTCAGTGTGGCACACTTTTCCTCCTCAGAAATTAATTGTACTGATTTTTATAGTTCTTTTACTAATATTGAGGGACACAATATTAACAAAAAAACCACACATAAAAAACCTCCACAAAAAACCCCAAACAAAACCAAAAGAAACCCCCACTATTAGTCATACATCTTATCTCACTGTGGGCTGGAAACCTCTTTTTAAGATTAATCACTGTATTTTGTTTAGGCAGTCTATATAATAGGAACAGCCAAATTTGTTTGTTAATAATACCTGTCTTGATCTAAAATACAATTTTATGAAGGGTTTGTCCACCTAGATTTAAAGATCCAGATTATCTGGTAGATATTGGCCTCTGAATATTCCAGAAGTCAGACTGAGTTAATTAGCAATCTCATACTGTTCTGAAAATGCATTTTAAAGACACTTATCTACCTTGATGCAAAAAGCCTTCCAGTTAAGGCAGTCAATATAGTTAACCAAGAAAAAAAGAAACAAACATTATGACATGCAAACAAGAGAAATTTTAAATGCTCCAAATTTTGTTTTAAATGCCACTACTCATCTGTATTAATAACAGCTACTCCAGGCAGCTTATTGTTCACATTGCACCAAGCAAAACAATAGTGAGGGAAAATAAGAGGAAACTACATTCCTCTCCAGCACTGGAAGGTCATTGTGTTCACATAATGAAGACAAAAAAAAAAACCAAACCAAAAACCCAAAATAAACAAGACTGTCTAGTCAGCAATGACAAGGACAAGCAAAAATCAAATCCCTAGGAGAATTCAGCTTAGTAACTAAACCATTGTAAAAATCCACAATTAAAAGCAGCATGGTAAAAGTTTGGGATTGGTTTTATTTCTTGATACCACCTCAAGCCACGCCAGAAAGGCTGCAGTAGTTTGATTACTCAGTACAATAGGGCATGTTTAATTTGATCACAAATGGTAGTTTTAAGAGAGAGTTCTATTTAACGAAGACTGATGGTAATAAACCCCTAACACCTCTACTTAAAGGTTTTGTAAAAGCTGTTTGGATTCAAAACCCATTTCTGTAGATCTTCCAAGAGATTATGAAGAAAATACTTGTTCAGTTTTACTGGGCAAGAGTGAAGAAACAGGGAGGATGCTTAAGTACAATTTTAATTTAAGTCATAGATACCGGACTCATTAACAAAATACAACAAGGTCCTTTTGGTAGTTCATTTACTTACCTCCACTTGCTGATTCTTGCTCTTCCCCTTCAGGAAAGGTAGCCTGGCTTGGTAAGCTATTCCTAGAACGAGTGACTGACTCTAAGTGTGAAGCCCTTCCCAACAGAGATAGCTCATCTAGCACCTCTCCTTCTTTGGCTTCCAAATCAGATTTTGAAGTGGTTAACTGTTTTATGTTACCTGGTGCCATTAAACTATTTGGGTCATTTAAACAAGCTACAGTACCACTGTCCAGGCTTAACACTCTGGCACGATTCTTGGCACTGTTTGTGCTAGAAGTCCGTCGTGTAGATCTTTTTTTGCTAATTCCTTCAGAGCTTACGTGGGTTTTGTGAGCATTTTCTGAGTCTGTGCCCCCACGGTCTTTAGAAACGTATTTGGTCTTTAAAGCACTGTATTTTCCCTCAGGAGACTGGCATGAATGGGAGGTGGTGCTGGAAGAGCTATCACTGCTGAATTGGTGAGCTGACTGCATGCTTGATGTCCTGCTCAAGTCACTTTGATCACTGGAGTCCTCATCGTGACAAAACACAGCACTGTGAGGTTTAGTACCAGATACACCTCGGAAAGAAACATATTCCCTGTGCCGACTTGAATCAAAACTACTAGCCCGCTTTTTTCCTGTCCTTCTCCGGCTCGACTTGTGGGTAGAGGCTGTTCGATGGATTAAACTAGAAGATTTTGGTCGAACATCTCCTTCCTTTTGTTTTCCACTAGTTTCTTTAGAAGCTCTTGAATCTACTAACACAGCTAGTTTCTCACTCTGCTCATCTCTTTGTTCAGCAGCCTTCCCATGCGGCCTGTCAGCTTGTGTAGTCAATTCATTGGCATGTGGGTTCTTATTGGCCTCTTCTGAAGCAGAGGCACCCAGACCTTTCTGGCTGTGCATCTCATCGGATGCATTAGAACCCTTTCCCTCTTGAACACCAGCCAGAGGACTCACTTCCACAGCAGTCCTTTCACTACTAGTCCTTTTGTCAGTAGTAGAACTACTGTCATCCTCTGAGTCGACACCACAGTCTTTTTTCTTACCATCCTTTTTTTCTTCTCTAGGAGACTCCTCCTCGTGCTCTGACAATACACTTTCTATATGTGTTGAGCTAGTATGTTCACTTTTGTAGCTACTGATGGTACTGTTGGTGTCACGATCAGTCCCGCTGCAGTAGCTTTCTGTTGAACCACTGCTCCTAGTACTCAGGCTTCTCAGACTGTCCATACTTTTGTCTGCTTTCAAGGACTTGCACTTCCCACTCTTAGTCAATGGTTGAGGGCTGCTACTTTTCAGAATGTCATCTAATTGAAAAACTCCTGAAATGCAAGAGTTCTCACCCAAAGACTCTCGGGATCCAGAAGGGGGCTTGGAAGCTTCTAACTCACTGACAGGATCTAGTCCTCGTTTTTGCTGATAGAGGGGGAAGTCATTTAGTGAAGCATCTGGAAAAGCAACAGCAGAGCTAGAAGTCCTTGGTACACCTCGTGGTCTATGATCCTTCCTATAGGAGTGAGAATGCAGAGTTACCAGCGAAGCTACTTCTGTGTCACATGTACTGTTTTTAGACTGGTCCACAAGCTGGTTGTTCGAGAGGCACACTTTGTCACCGCTGTCCCTTGGCAAATCGTGTCCAGAAGACAATGAAGGTTGGATGGAGACAAACGAGTCGTTCGAGACCAGACGAAAAAGCTTCCGATCAGCTGTCAAATCTGTTTAGGTACATATGTAAAAATATTCATGTAGAATGTTCATGTAAGTTATACAAATTGCTTTAAAACTGTTTGTTTATATCACACAAAGGAAATGAACTGAAAAATACAACTGCAAGTATGAATTCATCACATTACAATTTAAAAATATTTTATAACATCTGGGCAAACCTGACAGGCTTTATTTTTAATTTAAAAATCAGCTTATCCCTAGCAACTAATTAAGACAAGGAAATTCTGACAAGTCCTCAACCTCCTCTATTGCTTACGTGTCTCAGACTTAATAATTTACATATCTCTAAGCTTCTTAATTATAAAGAGTACCCTGCCTTTTGTTTTGGTTCCTACATGCAGTAAACACACTTCAAAGTTACTAATGAAAACACAGTAAACCCCATTAACTCTGAAGTTAAAAAACCCAACAAAAATCATCTTTCCTACCAGATACCAAGTAAGCTCACAGCAAGGATGCAGTCACTGTCACAAGTCTTTTTGTACTATAATGAAACTCCCTATGAAGTCACTGAGTTTTACTACCTCTAAAAAAAAAAAAAAAAAAAAAAAAAAAAAAAAAAAAAAAGAGGTGGTTTTTGCTGTTAAAACAAATCATGAGGATTTACTGCTAGCTCTTAGTTAAAACAATCATTAAAACAAACAAGCAGTGTCCCATAAAAGTGCCCATCTGCAGGCAGTACTAAAAGTCAGGCTACTTTCCCTTTTGCTACTGTCACTAAAAATAAATCTGGAGGCCAAATTAAGTTTCTAAGGTTGCTAAATTTCTGTAGAGTATATTTGAACACATGCATCTCAGGAGACTTCACAGTTACGTTACTCAGCTGAAAGTAGCAGAACCCTGCTGCCTATTACAACAGCATGGCCACCTGTGATGCTTCATTTCAAACACTTTCTGCATTGAATTACACAGTAATGATTGAATCATCCATCTAATGGTTCTAATCACACATTAATGATTGGACTGGCAAAAATGAGAGGTGGTATTCTCAGAGTTAACTTCCTCCTACTCACTCATGCACTTGGAAATCAGCAAACAAACATTTCTTTGGTTTTATGCTCTGTTTTAGTCTGAGCAGGTCTTTTCCTGGCAATGAAGCTAAATAAAACATTGTCCTGTTTTGTTTCAGAACACAAGATAACGGTTTCCTTGCATATTAGAAAAAAAAAAATTTTAAAAATTCACCAAGCTCTAATAACTTGCATCTGGGAACAGAGCTCTGTATGGGGTTATTTACTTTATAGAAAAGCCCACCACATTTACATTTGTCTGTACTTGTAAGGAAAGCAAATTAGTCTACAATGAAGTCCATTAACCCCAGGCCACCTGCAGTCTAAGAGATACTGTCCAAAGAAATGTAACTTAGCTGTCCTGCAGCAGTAAGGTGACAGTAAATATTTATTACCTGCTGGAAGATGTCCGAACAAGGAACACAAAGTCAGAATAAAGTTATAACCATTCAAATTACACTTCTCAGAAGATTGAGTAATTAGGAAAGGAAACAGGGAACTTCAAGATAACCTTTCTTAGAGTCTATCTACAAACTGCAAGAGTTTATTTAGCATATTAAGCAAAGGGTCTTTGGTAACAAAATACGGTGTTTAAATATGGAGAAGAAGAAATTTTACCTTGTTCTTCACTCCCTTCTTTACATAGGCTAGAACTCTGGCCAAGACTCAAACTGATATCATCAGAGGTCTTGGCAGTGTCAGTATCACCTGAAAATTTTAAGAAATAAGAGTACTAGTGCTCATAGTATTAACATATGCATCTACATTCTCAATTGTCATGAAATTCTGCTGCTTGTATTTCTTCATTTATAGGTAAGTAACAATAATCACACAATTACAATAACACAATATTAATTTTAGATACAAGTATTGTCTACTTCTTTTATCTTCCATAGAACTCAATGGAAATAAAGATTTTTTTTTCTCTTAAAGGTGTATCTATTGGAATATTTCTTTTTACACAGTTGTCCACTTATAAAAAAAAAGAGTGGTAGACTAAGAAAATACTTGTAAAGGTCAGAAAAGCAAGGAGAAAAAAAAAAAAAAAATCAAGGTGACCAAAAAAAAATAACTTTTTTTTTGCCTTATTATTGGCTGGATAAATTTACAAGAAAATACTTATAACATGCAAAATTGTTATCTTTTCATCTTAGAGGTGTTCACAAGGGCTGGAAAATACATTAGTTGGATGTCAAGCAATGAGACGTAACCAAATCACTGATATACAGTACCAGAAGGGTAATTGGTTGCACTGAACTCAAAATAGTAAAGTCTACCCTTACCAACCCTTTGCCTCTGCATTCTATAGGCCAAGGGAAAACCTGTCATTACATGGGAAGTAGAACACCAGCCCTGGAATATTCTCTCCTCATGTTTTGGTCAGATAATTTGCATGCACAAAGAAGACTCCTCCCAACTAGTAAATGCTGTATTTGACTTAAAAAAGAAAAAAACCATTAAGATTACTAAGGTAGACAGTACTTGGAAACAACACAGTAAACAATAGCGATGTGAAGTGCTTCTGTAAGGTAGTTCAAGTAGCTAAAAATCTCACCTTTGATAGTTGCTGCTGTTCCCAGACGAGATAACCCAGATCCAACCTAGAAACAGGGAGTTATGTAAAAAGCTGTACACTTTCAGGAAATAAACAACTGTTATTTCCTATTACTGCAACATTTGCCTATACACCTAGGAGAGGTTTTTAAAGGCACAAAAGCATCCAGCAGCACAGTGCTCTAAAATTCTGACTATGTTTCCACTGCAAAGAGATGAAAAGTCATGCAATTAAGCATACAACTACATCACAGCACTACTCCATTCAAAAGCCAGTATTCACGGAGACTTTACTAATGCTGATTTCAGAAAGTTTTTAATTTAGGAATTCTCCTTACTTAATGTGGCAACAGAGTACAAGTGTAGTGCTGCATTAATAACTGCTGTTATAAAACTGAACATTAAATGCACTGATCCTGTTGTCTAAGATGCTTAAAGAAAACACAATCTTAGTATAAAACTAATCTGTTCAACACAGTAAACACCAAGCTAAATCCAAAAACTGCTCCCATGTGAAAAGATACTTATTTTGCCAGTTATTTTCACATTCAATGGCAAACCAGCAGGCATGGTACCTGCTTACACAAAAAATTTCACCGTTTAGGTTTGCAATCTACCTATTTGAAGATATCCCATAATCCATTGGAGATTACTTTGCAGAGATGCTAAAGAGAATTTGGTCTTTCCTTCAATAACATTTTCAATACAGCCTCTCAACTATAATTAGCATACAACAATGCATGTGTCAGATAATTAACTCACTCAGAAATAAGAGGAAGAGCACTCAAAGGCAAAATCTGAACCTATAATACATAAAAATGATGGCCATTTGACTGATAGATACATACTTACTGGGAGGCTGTTTTCTGAAAATTCCTAGTTAAAATTACTCTGGGGAAAAGAGGATAATTCTACTAATTCTTTTCTGTAAGCACAGCAATTCCAGGTAACCTTAAGAAGCATGCAGATCTATTCAGCCATAGCACAGAAGAACAATGGTTTCATGTGCAAAGTGAAAAAAAGCTAAGCTTGTTTGATACATTTTCTTCAAACATTGTCACACACATCTAGTTATTCATTTTGTCATGTTTCAACATTTTTCTATTCAATAATATGCTTTCCTGAATGCCGTCCCTGAATACAAATGCATCCTTACAGGAAGGCCATCTCACAAAAACTAAGCAGAACTCAAATGCTTACTGTTCATGTTCCCCTTTGATGCTGCACATTCAATCACAGGGGACCAGAGAACACTAATTTTATTAGGACAAATACATTCTAAACCCTACACTTTCTTGCATAGTAGCATGAACCTCTTCACATGCTTTAATATTTAAATTGTTACGTTTGGAACATATTTTTTCCAAAGACCAGTCAAATAACTAATCTGGGCATCATGTTTATCTTCCCACCTATACCATTGCTTCCTATTCCTTTGAATACCAGCAAATGCCTTCTCTCTTAAAGGAAGGAAAAATCTCTTAAGAATATCTATGCTGCATAACTGAGAATGATTCAGATAAAACACCAACATTAGCATACCACTGCACTTCATTATCTACTGCTTGCTCAGGCAGCTAATTAGAATAATATGATATTGTAATACCGTGCCAAGGACTTCCATGCCATTTGAAGACAGGTTCTGTGCCTTTACCTTGATGCTGCATTGCTCATTACCAACATAACTGTACAGCCTGGCCAGTTCCTCTACTTGTCCTCATGAAGGATTGATAAAAACTAGCCACAACTAGCTAAATGTCACAATCTGACCAGAAGGAACAGCACATCCAACGCTAGGGAATTTGAACACATAAACCTAGTAGACATAATACGGAAACAGAGCAACTTCCCCAGTGAAATTCAAGGCAACTAGAGCATAATGAAGTTCCATTAAAATATAATAAAGTCATCTTCTTCAGCACTTCCATCTGGCAGGAATCCCTATTTATTGCTTTCTTCTCAGCCCTGATGAAGAAGCAAGAAAGTGAAGATTTTGCAGAGTTTTAGTCTTCCCATTTCTAGCAGTTTATCTTCCTTTATACTTTAGTAAATTAATTTTTGACCACAATATCTGAACTATGAGGAATAACAACATGAAGAAAGCCATTTACAATTGCAAGAGATAATCAGCAGTGGACACATTCTAAGATAACTTAACAGAAGTCTCCTCAAATACCACATTTAAATTTACCAATTAAGCTTTAAATGGCAGAACAAACAAAAATAAAGGAGGAAGACAAAGTTGAAAATACAGCTTGAGCTATCTAATGGCTCACAGATAGCCAAAGAACATGGGAATCCCCCCACTGTGGGTTCTTAGTACTCAGCTCACCATACTCTGAGCCATTCTGATTTCTTAAATCAGAAGAAAGCTAACTGAGCAAAAGGGAGTACTTTCTGATGTGACAGTAGGTTCCCTTTCAAAATCCAGCCAGTTCTAATTTAAGTATGAGATGGGATAAGAGCTATGCTGCTGGGACAATGCAATGCCTTCCTAATAAAGGAGTTACATACAGAAAGGAAAATTGTTTAATCTAATACAAATTATCAAAAAAATCTATAAAATAAGACGTTATTTACAGACTGCAAAGCCAGCAATACTAAAGCAACAACTGCAATAGCTTTAATTCTTACCTGGTTGTTTGGATCTATCCCAGCATAAGAATTGCGTGAACTACAGCCAACAGGGGGAGTTGCTTCTCGTATGAACTCTGACATCTCAATCCCTCCACCAGGGTCACTGAGAGAAATATTAAAAAAAAAAACAAACCACACATTATCCCACCAGTTAAACAAAAGTTTGTCTATGTTGAGTGCATATCCAAATCAAATTTTCCCTTCTCAAAAATCAGGGGCTCAAATATATCCCAATATGTTGGATGAACACCGGCTGTTTGACACAGAAAGCTCAGTCTGAGCCAGAGCACTCTATGCACTGCCATAGGAACTGCTGCCACAAGTCCGCTATCGCCCGCCAGCACCAACTGTGAAGACTCAGGAGCTGGAAGGCATTCCAAAATGCTGACATATTACATTCTCCCTGTCTATATGTGCACACATGTAACTTCTGGATCAGCTGTTCAACCGTAACAGCCAGAAACTGACCAACAGAAAAGTATACTACATAGAACTCGGAGCACACAAAGGACTCCTGGTCTTTTCCTTAGACTCAATCTGGGAGCAAAAGCAAGGATGGCTAATGAAGAAAGCCACACGTGAAAGCTTTTGAACAGGCAGAGACATACATGGCCATGGTATCTCTCCCAGGGATGCAAACCACATCTTTCTACTCAAAAATAAACTTCCCTTCAGATACTTTACAGTCCCTACCAAGAACTATTTTGGAGGTACAACATATATATATCACTGCATCCTAGTGATTTCACCTTTTCAGATTTAATAGCTATTGGTCTGAAAGCATTTCCTAGAGCAACACAAATCGTAATTCAACAGGATTCAGCATGTCAAAAGCAAATATTTTATGAAACAAAAGCAAGTTGGATTTGCACTTTAGGACAAAAGGGTCTGAAGTAAGTTGAGGACTAGAACACAAGTAACCAACCTAGCACTGATTGTTAACTGCAAAGAGGAAACAGTTGAGGCACTCATTTTCCTATCCCATTATCGTTCTCTTCAAGCACCTTGATCCAGAAGAGACTGCAGAGTAATTTGACACTGATCCTCTCCACTTTTTCCCATATACAAACACCAGCTTCCCAACGATCAAATTCCAGTGTTTCGCTGAGCGAAGTTTACATGCACAGCACTCGTCCAGCCGGACCAAATACACTAAAGACTAAGGCCTTCTGAAGAAGGAGTCAGAAATGGACAGAAGCACTGCAGGGCTTATTTAACAGACAACTAGTCTTATAGGGAAGTTACACAATACGAACAACACTTAATAGGGTGGCCTGCAGCAGGGCCAGAAACTGGAATCAATGATCCTGATGGGTCTCTTCCGTCTCAGCATATTCTATGATTCTAATAACTTTTGAGATATATGGACATCAATCAAGGCTACTGTAAACAAACTGTCTGTACACTAAAGACCTGACACATGATTCATCCTGCAGCATGGCATGTCAAGCTGTTGTCATCTTGGAGAGGTGCAAAGATACAACCTCAGAAATCACTTGACATAATATAAGAAGCACATGACTCTTCCTACATCAGAAGTGACCAACAAAAAGAAAGTCTGAAGTTAGGAATATATTCCTTCAGTATAAATAAGTTAACTTAAAAGACAACCAGCCATTGGTTAGCAGAACAACTATGGTCCAAGTCCAGCGAATTAAAAAAAGAAGTGAGAAGCCACCGTTTTGTTACAGCCCAGCCGTTAGACAGGCATACTATTGGAGACGGCTGTTTACAGAACCCTCTCTTGACCTACTATTATCAATTACACTAAGGCAGGTAAGGAAAATTAATTTTAGAAGATACAGCACCAGATTCAGCCAAAGTATTCATTCTGCAAGCATTTTAAGAATACAGAAGAACATAACAAGAATTTCAAGACTAAACTGAAAAATTCTCACAATGTTTAAGTTAAGCATACATTATAATGACAACTGAAGATATAACAAAGAATGCCTTTTACAAAAGGACGGAATTCCTTTCCTGTTTGAATAATTCATTGAGAAATACCGCATGTGATTAAAGTACATCCTATGAAGTAGAAAAATATGTCATTGCAAATGAGCTTTCATGCATAGAACCAGGTAATTAGCCAAAGAAGTTGGCAATTTTGTCTAAAACTTAACCATCAGGTATCAGCATAAGCAACAACAAAATCCATCACTGCCACTCTGCTCACAGCTTCTATATTGTGATTGCACACACAAACTTACAGATGAACCAAAGCTAGCAACAAACATCAACAAATAAAGTCTGCAGGAAGAAGCAGGAAATACAGATTTCTAGGACTGACCACTGTATGCCTAAGTACCTGGACTTTAGCAACATCCAGAGTTCTTTATGAGCTACTTGATGCTAGTGCTGTGGCCAGGCCTTCCTGATATGAAATTCTACAATCTCTTTCTTACAGTTTGCTGTCTTCATTCCTTAAAGCATTACACTTTTCAGTTTGCAAACAAAATAACTGCAATGAAGTTACTATACAAATCAAGAGGACTGAAAAAATTATATCCAGCAATGGAGATTGCTACGAAAGAGGCACTCAAAGATGACATAAAGCAAATTAAAACTACTATTTCCAATTAACTCTGAACTAAAATTACCATCGGCAGGAATATCTCATCAGCATGTCAGAGACTAAACAAAAGCATGAGGAGCCCATAAGTCTTCATGAATTCAAGTTGAAAATCTGACTTAGGCTGACGATTACAAAAATCAAAATTCAGACCAGAACTTCTAGAGGTCACCTGGAATAAGTTATTTTGATTTCTGGACAACACAGAAGAAGAGTTTTATTATTTTCCTTCGAAAATCATAATCTGTTCTTTAATGTTCAGTAAAAGAGTAGGATAACTAGTCAGGAGACTGCTCTCAAAATGTACTGCAAATGCTAGATCACAATAAGTATTTATTCAAGTATTAAGAGAAATTTTCTTCCAAGCTTAAGTCACTAATGATAATCAAAAATAAAAACTAACTCCAAACTCAAGAACAGGTCTGCCAGCCACAGAAAACTGCAAGGAGAATAAATAGCAAAGGCAAGGCAGCAGTTTTAGAGATCACCTTTTCTAAATTTTAACCAGCTACTAGCTTTACTTGGTAAAAGTTCACGTGAAATTTATGTAGCATTGCTATTACAGTTCCTCCATGCTGATGGAGATCAGGGACATCAGTGTCACCAGATGAACACTTTATGATACTTTGAACCATAACAGCCACTGACAAATAGCCATATTGACATATCCGAAAGAAGGACTGACTTAAGCATTTTAAATTATTTATGTGGGTCCACCAACACCCAACAAAGATCATGCTTGCACTGCTTCTTCAATAGTTCTACAAGACCAGGAGCCTATATCCCTTCTACTTGCTTTCATGAAACCTCACATAAAAATTACCATACTAACACCTGAAGCACGAAAACAGCAACTCATATTACTTTCTGTAAATTAAGACTTCCTTTCAAAAACATTAACTAGAGAATTTCAGCTTTAGAAAGAGGAGAGAAAAAAATAAACACGGCATTTCTAAAGGAATGACAAGTTGTTCTTTGCTTAAACATGCCAAAGTTTCATGGAAAGAAACTCCCATCCACAAACCAAGGTTAACTGAAGATAAATGAGCAGTTCGAGCAAGCCTACAAATGACAGCACATAATGTGTCAGATACCTGAAAGCACCATTTTGAGGATAAACATCTTCGGAAAGAAAGAACAGCAACTCTTAGAAGCTAAACAGAATCCTGAACACAACCATTGCTTAGTCCTGCAAATATACTAAGATTTCTATCTGAAGTGGTCTCCATGAGTGTATATATGGCAGGGTAAAAACTCTAGGCTGGCTTTGCATCTATATGAGTATTTATTCAGTACCACATGCTGTAGCCTAAGCTATCAAAACTAATGCTCTGATTCTGCAAATATTTAAGATAGTAACTCTACTCAGATCTCTCCTAGATCCACCTTGTATTAGGGAAGCAGAGTTTAAAAATCAGAAAACTCTACACACACACATTCTCTTCCCAGACACGTCTGAGTTGTTATTAGTGTTCCAATTTAAGCCACTAAGAAAGTTACAGCTCGATATTAAACACTCATTCTACATCCCATCTACTGGTTTGGATGCTACCCCAGAGTTCTTGTAAGCTTCCAGGCAAAGATTAGTATATACTGTACATCCCACTTACCAAAAAGTAACTCCGTAATTTCTGCATTGACCTTGTTCCCAGTTCTAGTTAAGAGACCTGAAAGTGGGAACAAGGATCATATAAAAGTTAATGAAACTTTAGTTGGCAAGCAGGACACACAGCATCAGACTAACCTCTACTTCTGAGCTCACAATGCTTATAATGTAGTATCTTGTGCCATGTCAACTGCTCCCTAGACAAAACAGAACTGAAACATCCACAAGTAATTCACAACACTAGTTGAAATTCCCTTACCAACTTTGTGCCCCTATTTTGGAAGCAAAAGCTACAGGGCAAAAACATCAAACAAAAAGAAAAACCCCACCAAAAACCACTCAGACAAAACGCCTAAAGGTCACACCTAAAACATGCATTACCAAGGTTGTGTGAGAAAGAACAGACCACTAGTTTACTTCCATGAATTTTATTAAGCAGAGTAAGCATTAAGATACAATTAGGGAAGCAGTCTGCCAAAATACCCCAGTACAGTTTTAGTAAGGTATAGGGTGATCTAAACAAAGTCACAATTAAAATCAGCAGCTTCAGTTGCCAAACACATCATGGAAAAAGGGTCAGGTTTATAAAACATTGATACAAGAAGTTACGGTATATCAGCTTTAGAGGAACCTAAGACATCGGTTTTGCCAACAATACCTGAGCTGAGAGAAGACACACAAGAACCTAGGACCATGAGAAGCTACTCCATATATACACAGGAAAGTCCTTTTACTTCTAGGCTTAGCATTTTAAAGAGCAGCAGTTTAACACTTCCTTTTTTAAAAAGCATCACAATAAACAGACTCAAGAGACTTCTTTCAACTACATTTCCTTAGTAAGACACACAGTCTTTTAAGAGTCAGGACAGCATACAAATCACCTCACTTTGAAAATTACTCATGGCTACTAGTACCGGAAACTCAGAGACAAGAGAAAGGTTATCTCTAAAAGCTAACAATTCAAGGTTGATTTATTTCATACAGTTTAACTTTTAAGATGGCCTCAATTATCTAAGGCAGGCAGAGGCTTTGATACTAGAGCTCGTAACACATCCACAGTCTCATCAAACTGGTTAAGCTGGCCTTGCTGATGAGTCATCTTTTGCACATCTTTCTCCAAACAGTCTGGTCAGGAGGAAAACCTCTGGCGAATTTTTTTTTTTTAATGCAGGCTACAAAGGAGATCTCTGGAAAGGAATCACCTCCTATTGACAGTACTTCAGAATCATTATCTTCATTACTAAGCAGAGCAATTTCAGAATTTCCAAATTGACAAGACAGCATTCTGCTTAAAAAGACTATGACTGGAGTCAAGCATTGTATCTGACTCCTGTTTTCACAACATTAAAATTGAAACCCAGTCCGACACATCTCCTGGTGATAAAAGAATTAGCATGTAGTATGTGGTCTCTAACAGCTAGATTTTTAATACTACATCTACTACTGAAATAAGATTACTTGTACTAATTATGTTCATTAAGTATTTAGTGACCTAATCGGCTCACATTTTCCATGCTATTGTTTCCAGCATGTTCAATATTGTTCTTGAACTCCTTCGGGGGAGGAACTAGGAAATTATTGTGAATCCATAATTTCAAACCTAATATATAAATAAGTCTGCTTTTCAAGACCAGACTTAAAACTGTCTTTCAGAACTACAGAGGTCTGTATCTATATTCCTTGGTGTTTAATCTCAATCATCATTCCAGTTATACAGCTGATGAAGACAGGACTGTTAGTCACTTGAAGCAGTATGCAAACATCAGCAGATAACTTACCTGGGCCCATTGCTGTCTTTCCTCTTGGCTGAAACATTGCTTTGTTCTGTTTTTGCACCTCTGTCCATATGCTCACTGGCATTCCTCTCCACAATTTCTCCCTCATCCAGTGCCCTGTGCAAACGGTAATTCACCATCTTCAAAACGATAAAGAGAGCTGCTATCACTGGGCAGTAGACAGCTACTATCATCATGGAAGAAGGAAGAGCCTTTCAAAAAAAGATTAAGAAAAAGTTAATGAACACAAGGTTGAATATCCCTAAGAAGACCATCTAGATTTTAACAGTTTGTTTCATGGAGAAAAAATGAAAGTTACACCACCTACAGCCAGTCTTTGTGTGAAAAACGTTAAGCAACACAGAAGAAAAGAAACAGTTGGATTACCAAAGATACTAAATCACCATAGCATTGTGCTAAATAAACTTGTTTGACTGAAGCTTGAGAACCAAGTTCAACTCTCATTCTCTTCTTCCATGCTTTTGGAATGCAAGACCTAGACTAGGAAACTTAGAGTAAGTATGCATAACACCTAGTATTTTTCATTAACAGTTATGAGTAAAAAAAGATGGGAAGACTTGAAGCACATGAAAAAGCAACCAAGCATGGGCTGAGATCTTATTTCAGGGCTAGTATACACAGCACCAAGTCCATTTCAGAAAAACTTGATGCAAGTTTGACAGCATGGCCGGATGGGAGAAAACCTGATTAGATACCAAACACTGGTGTTTTGACTTCGCTTGTCAGCTTCCAACAGCTACTGCCACATGACAAGACACTGATCAGTCACAAAAGCAAAACTCTTTCCTACTTGCATACATTAAGAGGTTGCTTACATGTGTGACTCACACACTGTACAGCAGAACACAACCTGCAAGACCATAGGCAGCAAAGATTTGTGCTAGACCACTGTATGCCCATGGAAAGGCAGCCAACACATGTTCTGATGAAAATATTTCATCTGTATGAAAGGTGGCTGGAAGCCACATAAAAAAAAACCCTCAGTCCTGAACTCAACATTTGAAATTCCATTCAACGTTAAGAGTTGCCATCAAAGTCTTGCAGAGGTAAATAAGGCTTTTACAGATCAATCACTTCAGCAATAGGTATTGATAAAGTCCAGCCTGAGAACTATTTAGAAGTGTTCGAAGTACTGGTTAAACAGATTTTACTTCAATGCTTTCATCCAGCTAAAACATGCTTTATTTGTGTTTTTAAATTTTGCCATTTCCATAGGCAGTAATTAAATGAGATATTAAGTCTCACTATTCATCCAAAAATAGACAATTTCCTTTACAAAAGAAATGAAAGTTTAGGTTCTGAATTATTTCACTGTATCACTATACCTTACCCTGCTCATGGTGTAGTTTGAGCTATACTTCCAAAATATAAAAATTCACACAGACATATGACAATCAGAATTAAACATCTGATATCCAGCTTGAACATTAATGGAGTAAATGAGTAGAGCAAATGAACTGTCTTCTTAAACCTCATGGCTGAGGGACAATTCCAGCTTATTTTCATACCTCCCTACAGAGACCATGGGAAAAGAAGAATCATCAGTGATAGAGTCTCAGAACATCTTGCAGAGTCAAAACAATGATCAGAGTAGAAGACAGTAATGTCTTCTATCCAGTGCATGGAAATCTAGTGCATGGAAACATTTTGAGTAATTTAAAATTGATTGGCTGACAACATAGAGAAACATCAAGCAATGTAACAATTTCCTACCTAAAATTATACCCCTGAATCTTAGAAGGATTTAAAGTAGCATAACCTAACCACAGTAGTCAGCTAAACAATTTTAAAGGACTCAACCTGGTCATACTTGCTGACTAGAGGCCTCCTTTTCTTTTTCTCTATTCATTTTCCCTTTCTGACTCTTCAAGATGTCCCTAGAACTTTGATCACCATGATGACTCTTTGTAACCAGCAAGGTTTTCCTCCACAGCAAGTCAAGTCTGACAACCATCATCAACACCTACCTTTTCCTCCAAAACAAGTTAAGTCATCCCTGAATATAACATTTCAAGTAGGCCAGGCAAACTAAGCTGAAGTTTACTAGGTTTCATTTTGCATGCTGAGTTGGACAACATAATGATGAACAGAGATTCATTCACCAAGCACCAGCTAAGGAGGAGAAAGAGGAAACCAAGCTACTTAAAACCAGCATCAATAAGCAAACAGGATCCACAATGATATAGCATCCCTAAAACCCCTGAAGCCATGCCAGAATGGTTTTCTCAGGAAATGAGGTACTTCTACTTCCAAAACCTTCAGTCAGTTCCCTGCAGGCAAGGGCTAGCCTGTTAACTTTGGAGAAACACATGAGCTTCCTGTACCTGCTAGGCAGTCTGCTACCCCATCATACATGGCTTCAACTTTCCTCTCCTTTATACTACCAAGTGTTCAGAAGCCATTACCAGAAGAGTCAGATTAATGCTAGATTTAAAAAAGCTAGAGTTACTCCATAAAAGACATGCCCAAACTTTTCTGTCTAGAGAGCTCATCAATTTCTCCCATCTACTGTCAGCAGTGAGGTCACAGTATATCCAGTTTATCTTGCAAAATTTACACATCTGGTTTTTCAAATGAAAGCTTTAAGAACAAGCATGAGAAAAAAAGGCAAAACACCTCATGCAACTTGCAGCAAACCTAACAAGGAATTCAAACCTTTTCCTCACATCCTGTTTTCAGAGGACTGCAGAAGAACAACAAAAAAAAGCTAACTAACTACCTTTCCTTCTTCATATTTGTAGTAGCTGCTCATCTAAGACTAGGGTATATATCCTGGGAATAGAAGGCATTTTAGCCAGCTTAGTCTGCCATATGAACACACTTGACATCAAGCATCATGCTGTGGTGCAGCACTGCCACGCATGGTACCAGCAATTTGTCTGCAGTACAGCTTCAAGAGGAAACTTACTACAGCCTAAGCTAAACCACTTGCAACATCTGTTTTTCTTAGCCAAACTTAGAAGCACTCAACATAAATTTGGGGTCTTCTCCCCACAAAACAAAGCAAGCTAAAGTGAGATTACCATTTCCAACCATGCTCAGCATTCTACCACATTTGAGGAGGGACATGTTTCTCACCAGCATCTCACCACCTTCAAGACTGGAATACAAATTTAAGTCATACAAATTTCCCACTAGATCGCATTTTAATAATATCAAAATAAGTTCATATACTAAAGCATTTCAATTGATCCCAGCACACTAAAACGCAAGTTAGAGCTTGTTAGTAGACACCAGTGGGCTGCAAGGCTAAAGCTGCAACAGCATTTCAGAGAGCACCCCTTTTTAGTGCACATTTCTGGGCACTTGCATTAGCACCAAAAGAAAACATACTCCACAGCAGTCATCATAGCTCTTGTACAATATAAAAAGCTACAAACAACCATGTAAAAACTGTGTGCTTTTAATTACGTTCTGTTGAAAACTTTAGTTATCTAATGACTGAAAAACCCAACTATTAGAAAAACTCCTACCCAAAATTATCTCCCTGAGTCTTAAATGGAAGCTAAGTACTACTCTCAAATATGGGGGGCAGAGGGAAGGACACTGATTTTTCTACCATCTTTCCCACAAGTTATTTTCCAAAGTAACTTGATTTTAAATCTTTCAAGTCAAAGTAACTTGACTTTAAACATTTCAAGTCAACTTATCAAATGCAAGATATACATATGGACAAAGGTAAAATACAGGAATGCATAGTTATGGAGGACTATCTCTTCTGAAACCTCTTGGCTGTCAAATTAGCTCACTTGTATCACAACAGACCTTTTCTGAAAGAGTAGGTAGAAAAAGGTACAAGCACTCCTAGATTCCGATGGTCAAAATAGAAAAGAAAGCTCCCACCATTAGTTACAACATTAAAATACTTCCATTGTAACTACAGAAGGTTACTCTATCTCGAATTAATGTTTCCAGCAGGTATGTAACAGGAACCACAGGAAACTTCATGGATCACAGGCTGTACAACATCCATATGAAGAAACTAACACTATATGGATCCTACCTAATCACCTAGCTTTAGCTCGGCCCCACAGATGTAATGAAAATTCAAGATTATTTTCAAAAAATAAACGCACTGCTATGAGTGTTTTCAACAGCTAACCTTTAAGTTTTCAAAATCAAACCAGACTGCAAATCTCTACATAAAGGTGTTATCAAACATTAAACATCAAGAAGCAAGTCATCTTATAAAAAGACTTAAAACTACAAGTATTTTGAAACCAGTATTTTACAGAAAGTTTTACTGGAAAAGAGGAAAGATCAGGAAACAGACGTCTGTAAGACCAAAACTATCAGAGCCCTTAAGAACTGTCATTATCTGGAAGAAAGTTCAGTTACAAGTTATCTAGTTTTTCACCGAAACCTCAAAGCATACAACCGAAACTTGAGTAGCCAAGAAACTACAAATGTCTTAGAACAACATGGCATACCAGGGATTGCTATCACAGATTGAATTTCAATTATTTAAAATCTTAGTTTAAGAAACAGGACATATTTCAGAAACTCCAGTGGAAAAAACTTCCACGTGAAGCTACACTTACATGACCTACTTCTATAACTATGTACACAAGTCAGGAAATTAAGTAAACTGTTGTCTAAACGAGCTCGACTTTGACAGACAAGTTCTGTAGGTACATATGAGCCCATCACCCCAAGCAAGGTACAGTCTTGGCTCCTCTTCAGTCACTGGCAAAATTCCACAAGTGCCAGAGCCAAGACTTCACCCCCTCATGCGCACGTGGTGGGGCTGAAACAGCATTCCGACTAGGGGAAGTGCTTTGGCAGCCTCCTCCTTCCCCTCCCCCCCGCAACACTGATGCATAACGTTGGCCTCTGCATTCAGGGTATTTTTTTTCAACTCTACCACTAGATTTTACAAAGTGATTGGACAGCTTCCCCATATACAAAGCACATTTTCTTCTCCCGGTTTCAATTTTGCATTAGAGGAAAAGCAGGGATCAGCTCTCACAACAGAAAGGCACATCAACAAGCAGAGTTGAGTCTGCTACTGGATAAAAATATGCAAACAGGATAGACTTAACTAGTCTAGAAAGCAGAATTTAAGTGTACTGCCAAGCCACAAATCCAAGAACACAGATTCAAGCAGCTTCCCTAAAGCAGGCATATCTTACTCTAGACCCCAGTTCCTTAATTATCCACATGTTTATTTTTGCCACACTTCCAACAACTGCATTTTAAGTGTATAAATACACAAGAAAAAGGATCCAGATTGGCAAAATAGGTACATTTAGGTATACATTTGTCATCTTCACACAGGGTACAACACTCACTTGCATGTGCTTAAGCTCAGAAGGCAGATGAGGTACCAAGGAAGAAAGGTTGGTTATCGAATTCTAATGCTAATCTTTTCAGTAGGTTTGTACCACACATTAAATCCATCAACCTTAACAACATGGGCATTCACATACAAAGGAACACACAGATTTATGGCATTACTTGCTCACCACAACCATTGCCAGATTCCATTCTGAAAATATCAGATCAACAAAACAAATGCACAGAAAAAAAGCGTAGCAATGTTGGGTGCAGTAAACCAAGTCTTAAAGCAGTAAGTGCACCTGAATTCCCATATCCTAGTGTGTTCTATTCCTGTTGGAGGTTAAATAATATTTGGGGGGCAAAAGTAATTAGCCTACCATTAAACACATTCAGCCTTGAGAGCCAGCTACAAGCAAAGTTCTTAGGGGATACTTTTGTCTTTGTTGCTACAAATCAACTTAGAAATAACTACAATTATTGCTGATCCAATGCGTAAAAGCAATGATATGAGCTTGTAATTCTTTATATGGGGAAGCTTTATAAGTAATATAAAACCTGTTAGCAGTCTAAGTCTTTCTATATACCTTGATTTTTTAAACACACAGGGTTGTCTGCCAGCAACAAGTCACTTGAAGCTAGCTTAGAAACTCCCTCCTACACACCAGTGAGCCATGCTCAGAATTCAGATTACAATTACCTAAGAGTTTTTAAGCAAGTTCTGCTTATTTATGTACGTCCTACAGCAATGCAACACTTCTTGCTTTTAATTCTGAAAAAGAGCTTAAGAGATGCTGAAGAGCTACGATGACCAACACAGTTCTGCCTGTTTAGTTTATGTCTAGACAACACTTAAACTGTAGAGGGTGGAAAGAGGGAAAACAGCCAAATATGATTCAATCTTCTTTAACTTGTGACTAATCTCCCTACTTATTCTCAGGGAAGTTGGCACTTGTTGCATCTTTAGCTAGTCCAGAGCTATGAAGCAAGAGAATTTCTCTGACCTCAACAAAACCCAAAGCAGCTTGCTACTGTCTTTTCCCTTTACACAGGAAAACGTGTTTAAGCAACACTGAAGTTTACCCCATTGTATGAGTAACTGAAGCTTACCTACTGCTTTAAGGGCAGCAGGAGACTCAAACGCTGGCCCAGATTTACCATTTGGCAAAAGACCTATGTGCAATATAGATCATCCCCTTTCAAAGGTCTCCCGTGCATGCAGGATATAGCTGATCTTACAGGTGGGGTCAGCTTTCTCAGCAAGGCAGTACTAATTAAATAGACTATTCTGTCAAAACAGAAAAGCAGTACTTTTATTTAAAAAAAATTACCAAGCTATATTTGAAACTAAAAGGCGTCTCCTCTTCCCATATTCAGCAGAATTTTCAATAGATACAGATTCGTAGTTCTCATACAAAGTATCTGCTTCGTTAGAAGTTCTATCTAGCTGTTCTCATGTAACTTCAGTTTTAAAAGCAATTTGTCTCAGCCTTTAGTTGCCCTGCCAGCAGCCCAGAAGTTTTCAAACAAAAAGCCTTAGAGCTGCCTTTTTCAAGACACGGTGATATGAATTAAAAACCATAGAGTTGTAACCTCCTTTTCCACATTAGCTATTCCTTAGCATGAAGTGTCTCACACTGCAACTACAAATTGCTTTTAAACAAAGCAAATGCCTGACTTTGCATGTGATTTTATCTCCAACATTTCATTCACTAACTAAATTTTCACAAAGCAGCTTCTACTTTAGGTTGTCACAGCATCTGGCAATCTTGCAAATTATGTTCTACCTCATGCACAAAACCGGTCAAAACACACCATTATGATCACACTTTTCTTCTGAAAAACCCAAAGTAAACTATTAGCATTTCCTAAGTTAAACACAGGGAAGAAAACTACTGGTCAACAGGAAACCGCCCCCTTTTCTTGTAACCGATCATACCTCTCTATGCGTTCCCAAGTCCAAATGTCAAGAAAGTTTCTAGGTTTAAAGGTTAGTATTTTAACAGCTTTGATTGAAGTACCAGTTACAAAGATATATAGGACAGGAATTCTCACAAACCAAGTACACTGAAATCAGGACACAAATAAAAAAGCCAGACTAACTTCTCTTCAGTAACACACAATCCTGATACACTGCCAGCCAGCACACCACGCTACATCCAAATAAAACTCCTAGGTTATGGAACCACATCCCTCCACCAGACTCAAAAGTCAGAAACACTGGCTAAATCTGACAGTTCCTGTAGAAACTGCTTTTTAACCACCTACCAGGAGATCAGCAGCGGAAGCCGCCAGAGGTATTTCCAATTTTGAAGGAAAGTAAACAGAAAAACGAAGGCAAAGTGCCAGCGCCTATAGCCCCGCCGCGCCCCGACAGCGCCCACCCACCGATTCCCAGTAAGGGGTCGGTGCCCCCGGAACACCGCAGCCCCGATGGCGGGGTCCGGGCCCGCTCCCGGCGGAGGGGGGCGCGGCCGCAGGGGCCCGGGGCCGCTCCCGGGGCCGCGCCGCGGGCAGGGGGCGCAGCTCCGCCGGCCCCTCCCGGCCCTCCCCCCCCCCACTCCGGGCCCCGCAAGGCCCGGCCGACCCACGGCACAGCCCGGCTGCGCGCTCACCATGTACAGGGTGAAGGGGAAGCCGAGCAGGAAGAGCCACAGGTAGAGGTGCAGCGCGTTGACCCCCGCGCCCTGGTGCGGGTCCTGGTACCAGCCGCCGCTCAGCGCCGCCCACACGCCCTGGCGCAGGATCTGCAGCACCTGGGAGCCCATGGCGGCCCCGCTCCGCCGCGCCGGCCCCGCTCTATCCGCCCTGCGAGCCCGGGCAGAGCCGCGCACCGCCCGTGCTCCGCGACAGCCGCAACCGCCGCCGCCGCCGCCCCAGCAACGCCGCCGCCATCTTATGTCCGGGCCCGGGCCGCCCGCCCGCCCCCGCGCCGCCGACGGACCGGCGGCCCTTGCGGCAGGGGACGCGCGCCGCCGCCGCCGGGGGGGCAGCGCTGCGCCTGCGCGCGGCCTGCCCGCAGCCCCGCCCCCGCCTGCCCCCCCGCAGCGCCCCCTGGCGGCCCGGGTCGGCCCCAGCGTAGGTCCCGCCCCCCAGCGGCCCGCGGGGCTCCCGCCTTCTGAGCGTGCTGTGGGACAGAAGGACGCGACCCTCCGAACGGGGGTTTTCAAGTCAGAGAATTACAAAATCAATTAGGTTAGAAAGCACTCTGAGATCACGAGTCCAAGCTGTGACTCCACCGTATCAACCACACCATGGCACTATCATATCCAGTCTTTCCTTGAAGGCCTCCAGGCGGGGTGATTCCACCACCGCCCTCGGCGCCCCATTCCAACGTCTAATCGACCTTTTCGTGAAGAAGTTCTTCCTGATACCCAACCTCAGCCTAAATACTGCAGGCGTTGGTACAGATGCACTGGACCACCTCTCAAAGAAAGGCTGAGGAAACTGGACCTGTTCAGCCTTGAGAAGAGATGACTGAGAGGGGACTTCATCGTTGTCCACAAGTACCTGAAGGGAGAGTGTCAGAGAAAGGAGCCAAGCAATAGGACAAGAGGCAAGGGGCAGAAATGCACAGGAAGTTCCAGTGGAACATGAGGAAGAACTTTACTGTGCAGGTCACAACACACTGGAACACATTGTCCAGGGAGGTTGCAGAGTCTCTCTGACAGGCAATATTCAAGATATGTCTGGAAGCAATCCTATGCTATGTGCTCTAGGAGGTCCCTGATTGAGCAGGGAGGTTGGACCAGATGATCTAATGTGGGGGTCCCTTCCAACCTGACCCATTCTGTGACTCGGGGCCTCCACTGCAGAAAAACTGCAGGAATGAAACAACCCAAGCACTCAGCCATGACTCATGATGAGCATGCATTTAGGCTGGTATTTTCAAGAGGCTGCATTAATTCCTCAGTCTCCGCTGTCTCCCTGACAGTTAGTGAGCCAATGGCAGCATTTGGTTATTCTTGGAAAACCAGAAGACAGAAGTTACTGACTCAAAGCAAATGTATTTCATCTATTTTTTGTTTCCCCAGTGAGAAACTAGGGAGAAGGGATGGACACAAAACCTCAACAGCTAGCTTTCTCCCCAGTATGAAAAAATAAACCTTTTTTGGATAGTGCATTTTCAAACACAAAACTGGGAGCAGTATTTTACAAAAGAGCATTTTTTCACTCTGCCAAACAGGATTGAGATATTAAAGGAAATAAAGATGGGGGAAGGGAAACCAACAGTGAAAAACTACAGAGGATTATCATGGATGAGAAGGGGGAATTCCCTTTATCCTTCTGCATTAAAACCAAGCATGACAAGCCTCACCAGTTATGGTATGCTCAGAAAAAAAAACCAACTGTTTCAACTGCAATATTTGACAAAAAAACATTAAAAGCTAAAATTATAAATACAGATGTTAAAATATGAACTTGTTAGATTGTGTTATCCATACATGTACTTTGATGCTGTGATGAGCAGGATTATGAAACGTTAGTTCTTTCTGCAGCTGTTGTATCAATGTTACATAAAAGCTGTTCACCTTCACAAAGGGAGGCAGTAGGGATAACATTCATTAATTACATGTCTGAAGGCTACAGTAAATGCTTTAGAAACATTTATGCTCCTGTTTAGAAGCCTTTGATTAAATCTGGACAGATTAGCCTCAGCATCCTAGTAATAATTCATATTACACAGTGCCTCTGTGTAAGAGGCTGAATGCTGTGAGAGATTCTAGCTCTTTCCTCAGCCCCACGCCTAGAAGCTGTTGGACCATTGGGCCAGCCATAATGTTATAAAGGCTTGGGGGGTACTGCATGGGGGGGGGCAGGGGTGTGGAAATTAAAAGCAAAAAATAAGCAGAGGAAGCAAAGCATAATATATATATATATGTTTACATCAAATACAAGTAAAATTACAGGCTCAACCCTGGTCCAAAACAGAATAACCTAGTTCCACATAGATAGCCCTGTTCAACTGCATGTCATCATAGGAGGATCTAGTTGCATCCAGTAAAATAAAAATGAGGTTATCACATGCTTGAGAGGACAACGAAAATGTTATTGTTTAGCTATTTAAATACAGACAGACTGAAAACATTAGGACTCAAGAGGGGAAAATAATATTTTTTAATCCATCCATGTCCAAAGGTAAAATTGATAACAAGTCCAGTTGTAGGCATCATTAACAAAGCAAGAAAAAAGAAATTATTAGCTTTCATGGGGAAACAAAGAATGGACACCTAGATAGAAAGTAACAGCAGTAGATTCGATCTGTGCATGCCAAGGAATAACGAGTACATCTGCACTGTATTTTAGCCTTACAGGTTTTCTTCGGGATGGGTACAGGAAAAATAGTTTGCTCTAGAAAAAGACTGAGCATGACAATTTATTAGATAAAATATTTAAGAGAGTGGGAATTAAATCAAGTGATTGGAGACCAACCAATGTGTGCTATTGCAAGAAGGGGAAGTTAATCAAAACAGTAATAAAAGACTGAAACTTGTCACAAAAGTGCTTCAACACGTTGCTCTTTCTAAGAATAATATTGCAGCATGCTTTGCACCATTAGAAGTATATTAGTCTCTCATTTCATTCGGGGAAATGAGGTTCTACACTTTCCCTCCAGACATCTTTCACAGGATACCCAAAATTATAATTTTTAAATTAATTATCAAGAGAATTACTAAGTTTCATGAGAACATAATTCCTAAGTAGGACAAGACATGAAACAGAAAATTAAAAAGAATATTTTCCCTAAAATGGACAAAACTTATTATGTGCAGAAAAAGAGCTTATGACTTGGAAATTTTTGTTTCAGTAAATCATCACCGTATGATACCAAACTGTGAGCAGCTAATAAAAGAGTCAGCAGAAAACAAGAAAAGCACTGATTTATTTACTTTACAGATATGAAGGCTAGCACTTCTCTCTTGCTGGATAAAGTATTTATTGTCAGATGAAGACAGACAAACTAGATATTGGTGACTCAGTACCAACTTGTATATATGTCAAGATCCCTTGACTTGGGACCTGTAGTTAGGTAACAATATTTCAACCCCCATTTTTGCATCCTGCTGACACAGACTACTGCACCACTATACTCTATGTGAATTGCATACAGCGTCCAAAGCAACAACTTCAGCTCAAAAAAAAAAAGCCAACAAAAAAACCCCTCACACAACAAAAATACAAAAGTCAATTTTGAATATAATTGATCAGCTTAGGAGAAAAGTGTACCTACTTTTTGCTTTTCTGAAGAAACAGTAGTAAAATGTATACTTGCTACCAAGGAATTAAACCTCTGTGCAATTTTATGTCTTAACTTTTTTCCCTACCATTCTCTATAATTGTAACCAAGTTAGATATTGTTTTATCTCAATTTGAAACATTGTCTTAAAGATCAATGACGTGTTTTATTCTTGCATCTTATGTGAGAATTAAGAAGCAAACTTATTTCCAAGTGTGAGAGAAAACAGAAGGTCATTCTACAATAATATTTGCTAGCCTAGTTTCACTGCAAGATAGTTAATTTTCTTATAAAGTCTGTCAGGAAGTTGTTCTAGGTTAACTTTTAATTACAGCAAAATGGTTTTTAGCAACTACAGGACTCTACTTAACATGTTGGCATGACTTCAGCAGCTGACAATAGCCTATCTGCTATTTGCACAGGTTTTAAACAAACTTCTAAGCAAGAAGAAGATTCTCTCACAGACCCCACTTCATTTCTAGAAGTCACACCAGATTCAGCCTTGCACATTAAGGGATTGCTGTGAAATTACTTCACAAAATCTAGCCCTGTATATTACCCTGACTCCCAACTAGAATACAGCCTTTAGAAACAACACAAAAAATATGCCTATTCTTTAGAGGTTTAGCACAGACCAGAAAGGGATTTACTAACAGGAAGGTGCCATAGCAGGACACATCCTCTCCACGCTGTGCTGGCAGGGTCAGCACTGACATCACATACCGCAGCCCCAGTTATATAGGAGGCTACTCTCCACCCACCTTAATTGCAGAGAGCCACACCACCAATCACATTCCAAGATCCACCCTGTGCTTTCAGGTTACACCCTTCCCATCACCTTGTAGGAAAGGCCAAATTATTCCCTCTCAGTGTAGGAGAACATTGTTCTTACCCTCACAATAGAAAAAAAGGGTAAAAAAGGTTTAGGTTTGGTTTGGGCTTTTAAAAAAAAATTCAGCTATGACTGTGACTAATAAAGCTCTTCATATTACCTCACAGTGCTACTGAGGAGGAGATAATTCACTGGGTGGAGGATGCTAATTACTCATCTGCAAACAGCTGAACTGTGGAGTCCACAATCCCACTAATCCTGCCCTTGCAGTTTATCTCAGCTGCCTACTGCATCTTTTGAGTATGCAAGCTCTATTCGTACACTGTCTGAGCCCTGTGGTTTTCTCAAGACAAAATACAAAGAGCAAAGCAAGAAACTTTCCGAATAAGAGCACTTACATAAGTTTCTTTTAATCAGGGAGTGCTGAAAGGGGAATGCTGTTTAAAATAGATCCACACAGACAAAGAAGCCTCGTGATAGCTAATAAAAACAAATTCTTACCAACTTGTTGATAGCAGCTTTCTGTAAGTTGCCATTCAAACAATAGTGTCTTCAATTCCATTCCTTTTATTTCATGTTAGAATTTGTATTTATGCATCTTTCCACTCTACACTTTTAACAGCTATATAGGCCACCGTCTCCCTATCCTAACTTCTTGCAGCTGCTTCAGCGTGGTTGAAAATTCAATCAGAATGGCT